TTTTTTTTTAGAAAGAAAGCTTGCTTCCAATCTCAAGAAATGTTAGTTCTAGTTTATTCATTCAATAGTTACTGAAGGCCTACCACATGCTAGACATTTTGCTAGGTACTAAAGGAAAGAAGATGATTAAGGTACCATCTTGAAATCAGACCTTTGAAATGGGTACCTAGAATCTCTCTGAAACCTTCTCTCTAACACCAACATTGTCACAATAGGACTCTCCTCCAAGTTTCTTCTTTTGGCACCAAATACGCCTTTCCTTGGCTGCTCCTCAGCAATCTAGTATAGGCCTTCGTGCTCTGAACATGATTTTTTTTCCCAAAATTATTTCTTCAAAACTTTTTAATAGCAACACATAATCAGAAGTTCATTTTAGGGACCACTGTTGCGGCACAGTGGATTAAGCTATTGCTTGTGACACCAGCATCCCATATGGGCACTGGTTCAAGTCCTGGCTGCTCCACTTCTAATCCAGTTCTCTGCTATGGCCTGGGAAAGCAGTGGAAGAAGGCCCAAGTCCTTGGGCCCCTGTATCCACATGGGAGACCCAGAAGAAGCTCCTGGCTCCTGGCTTCAGGTCAGCTCAGCTCTGGCTGTTGCAGTCATCTGGGGAGTGAACCAGAGGATGAAAAACCTCTCTCTCTCTCTCTCTCTCTCTCTCTCTCTGCCTCTGTTTTTCAAATAAATAATAGTTTTTTCTTAAAAAAGAAAAAAGAGCACATGGAAGATCTCTCTTGTGTCTCTGTCTCTCCCTAACTCTTTCAAATAAATAAGTCTTTAAAAAATTCAAAACAAAAAATTCATTTTACATTGCAACCTAATCACACTTAAGTATATATATTCATATTATATTGGTACAGTAAACTTTTCACAAAGTTATACTTACACTATGTATACCTTTATTTCAGGAGCCTGGCCTTTTGTACTGTATTTTATTCTATTCCATTTTTTCTAAATACCAGATACAGCCCATTAACCTGACTTTACTTCCCACTAGTGGATTAAATTCCCCACTTTAAAAAAAATTATTGTTCTAGGTAGTCTTATGCATATTAATTTACTTAATATCCATTTCTTAAACCTACCTTTCCAGGCATATTTCTCTCTTCTGACACATACATCCAACTTCCTATTGCTTTCTTGTAGTCATTACAGTCTGTCACCTTCAGAGATTGATTCTTCAAGGAATTACATCATACTCCTCGTTGCCTGGCACAGTCCTCATATTTCAATAAATGCTACTCCAGATGAATGGAATAATGTATAGAAGGTATAAAAATAAATCTCTTGGCCAGCACCGCGGCTCAATAGGCTAATCCTCCACCTTGCGGCGCCGGCACACCGGGTTCTAGTCCCAGTCGGGGCGCCAGATTCTGTCCCGGTTGCCCCTCTTCCAGGCCAGCTCTCTGCTGTGGCCCGGGAGTGCAGTGGAGGATGGCCCAAGTCATTGGGCCCTGCACCTGCACGGGAGACCAGAAGCACCTGGCTCCTGGTGCGCTGGCAGCAGCGGCCATTGGAGAGTGAACCAATGGTAAAGGAAGACCTTTCTCTCTCTCTCTCTCTCTCTCTCTCTCTCACTGTCCACTCTGCCTATCTAAAAAAAAAAAAATCTCTTATAGCTAGAAGCAATAGGTGGTATAGTTTGAAGCTCAAGTTAGGCTAGCATTCAGTTTGAGTTTGAAGTAGATGGGTTTAGTTATAATGGACCTGGTAACCAAAAAGAAAACATAAGCAGTTTTTCAGCCAAATAATATGATGAAAATATTTTTACAAGTATAATTGTAAAGGATAATCAGTGTAAAGAATAATCTGGAAATTAGAGAAAGGAAGACTAATTTGGACTATGTGGGGGGAAAAAAGAGCAGTTGAAAAGTTACCCTCTCCGTTGGTACAAAGGAATTCTGTTGGACATCAGATTACAGTGTTTAAAAAGGAACATTTGGGACAGTTAGCCTACCAGTTAAGACACCTGCTCCTTATACCGCAATAGCTGGGTTTGATATTTGGCTCCAGATCCTGACTCCGGCTTCCTGCTAGCGCAGACCTTGGGCAGCAGTGTGATGATGGCTCCAAGTATCTGGGCTCCTGCTACCCACATGGGAAGCATAGATTGAACTCCTGGTTCTCAGCTTTTGCCCAGCCCGGCCATAGCCATTGTGGGTATTTGAGGAGTGAACCAGCAAAAGAGAACTCTGCGTGTCTCTAACTCTCAAATTTAAAACACCGTTTGGTTAAATAGCTCCATTTTTATCCTGAGGAGCAGTTGAAGGCAGCAAAATGGCTTAGTGGGACTAGCACACAGGCGACTTTTCCTACTGAAACATCTAAAGGGTCCTAAATCACTCATAGCAGCACTGCTCTAGTCCACCTGCAACCTGCAACTCCGCCAGCGCAGAAGGGGACAAAGAATAAATAAAGAGGGGAACGGAAGAAACAGCTTGTCCGGCTCTGGTGTGCCGCTCAATGTTATCTTTCCTCTCCTGTGGGCTAACTCAGATGAGAATTTCTATGCAGCCAGATAGACTTAAATACCCCGACCAAGCGGCTGATACGAATACGACGTTCTGATCCCCCTCTAGAGCTTGTCAAAGGGACTATGGGAATCAATTAACCTCAAGTAAATGAGAATGAGTAGAGGCGAACCAACCCTCTTGGAACGCAGGAGTTTTTAAAGAACTGGGAGTGGGCTAAACGCCAAGTTCTGCAACGGTAGGGATCATCGTGTACCCACTGCACCCCGACCCTAGCACAGGGCCTGGCACATAGTGCGCTAACCACAAACGTCTACTGAGTGAAAGGGCGGCAGGCTGAATGCGTGAATGAGTGATGCAGGAGAAAGTTAAGACCAAGAACACCACCATTCGGTAATGGCGAATGTCTTGTGAGGAGTGCAGGGTAGCTGAGGAAGGAGCGTCAGATTGAGTTCAAAATTTGCAACAGAGATGTGAGACTCTACTCAGGGGCTTCCGCAGGACTGTTGGCAGGGCGTCTGCGGACTTGGGAGTCCCGGCGCTGAGGCGCAGCCCGACCTGAGCTCTGAGGCGGCCGTCAGCCCCGCGGCGCCAGCCGAGAGCAGCCCTGCCCCGCCGCGGAGGGCCTGAGGGGGGCGTCTTCGGCCGCGCCGGTGCTCGCCGAGAGCCAGGAGGACCAGGTAATGGGCTCTCTGCCCTCTCGGAGCTGGGCTCCTCCGCGTTTCCCCGCGCCTCCGGGCGGGGAGGGAGCGCAGCCGGAGCGAGCGGCCGGCAGCGCCTCGCAGGCTGGGCGCGGGCCGAGCGAGCTTCCGACCTCCCCGGGCAGGTGACGGTGGCGCAGGTCGGGGCCAGTGCCCCGCGGGACAGGCGCCCTGAGGCTCAAGCCCCCGACGCTTGGGTCGGGTCAGCCCTCCGCACACGTTCCTGAGAGCCAGGAGCTGGGCCGCCTCCCCGGTCGCACCCCGCGCCTGAGGGCGCCCTCGCAAACTCCGGGCACGGTGGGCGCGAGGCCGGGGCCCAAGAGACAGAGCGGGGCGGGGGGCGGGGGTGCCCAGTAAAATAATTTCATCTCCTTTGAAGTCAGAGGAAACCAGTGAACCCGGAAAGTTGAAGTAAATGTTTTAATTTTTTCTCATATAAGGAAAAAAAATGAAAATTTTAGAACCCACAAACGTGTATTAATTTATTATAATGTTTTTAATGCAAGGAGGGGCCCGCGAAGGCGAACTACGAAATGTTTAAGGGACTTGCCAGCGGCGGGACTCATTTATTGCAGGCCGAGGCACCCTCGGTCTGTAAGCGCTAGTCCTTGCTCCTCCTCCTTGTTAACGAGGACGCCTAATGGGGCCCGAATTTGCGCCTCGGGGACCCTGAGGGCCAGTAGGGAAAAGAACGTCCAACAGAGGGAGTCACAGCAAGAGCTTGTTTGGGGTGCGCTTGTCAGGGAATGGCCTGACCCCAGGGACGGAGAGTTGGACACAGGCCAAACTCGGGGGCCAGGGTAGGAGTTTGGATTTTGTTCCAGGTGTAATTGGAAGTCATTGGTCTTTGGTGGTTCAGGGCTGTTCCAGGTTTAACCAGTTTACAAGGGGCTACCGTTAAGCAGGGGGGTGAGTAAAAACGGAGAGTCAGTGCTAAAGCTGGTTCCTGTTTAAGTGGCAGACCCACACATGCGATGCATGAACTGACCAGGTGTGGGGAGCTAGGGAAGAGGGTGGCTGCTCACCGCTTTTAGAGGACAGTATTCCAGTTGACATTGGCTTGGGATTTGAAAATGCAAGCTAAAACTGTTCTGAGATCTTAACAATCAGTGGTGAAAATTGTAGTTGTTCTGTGACTCCTAAAAATTATTGCCAGAACACCAAGAGCTCTCTTATTAAGCTGGTTTTTAACTTTTTTTTTTTTTTTTGACAGGCAGTTAGACAGTGAGAGAGAGACAGAGAGAAAGGTCTTTTTTTTTTTTTTATTTGTTTGTTTGCAAGAGTCACAGAGAGAAGTAGAGACAGAAAGAGAGGTCTTCCATCTGCTGGTTCACTCCCCAAATGACTGCAACAACTGGAGCTGTACCAATCTGAGATCTGAAGCCAGGAGCCAAGAGCTTATTTCTGGTCTCCCATGTAGATGCAGGGGCCCAAGGATTTAGGCTATCCTCTGTTTTCCCAGGCGCATTAGCAAGGAGCTGGATCAGAAGTGGACCAACCAGGAGTCGAACCAGCATTACACAGGGGATGCTGGCATTGCAGGCCAGGGCTTTAACTCACTGTGCCACAGCACTGGCTTTATTGTTTTAAGTATACAGGAAAATGTAAAACAGTAAGACTAATATGTATTTCTGCTACTGTATTTAAAACATTAGAAATACTGGCGTTTGAAGCGTTTTACTTCTAGAACTACGTTGTTGTTTTTTTTTTTTTAAGATTTTATTTATTTCTTTGAGAGGTAGAATTAGAGAGAGAGGGAGAGACAGACCTTCCATCAGCTGGTTCACTCCCCAAATGGCCACAACAGATGGAACTGGGCCAGGATAAGCCAGCAGCCAGGAGTTCTTCTGGGTCTCCTATGTGGGTGCAGGGCCCAAGTATTTGGGCCATCTTCTGATGCTTTCCCAGGTGCATTAGCAGGGGAACTGAATCAGAAGTGCAGCAGCTGGAACTTGAACTGGCACCCATTTGGGATGCCAGCGCTGTAGGCAGTGTCTTAACCCCCTATGCCACAGTGTCGCCCACCAAGATATAACTTATGATAGAGCAAGCATATTTTCCATGCCTAGGAAATGTTATACTACTTTCCAAGTTTGGACCAGTTTCCAAAATTTTATGCTTTGTGCTTTCAATTTTGTGAACTATCTCCAAGAGCTTTTTTTTTTAAATAATAAAGTGTTTTTTGCAAATGACATTTTTTCTGGAACATCTTCATCCTTGTTGTCACAACTGTTTTTCTCATTTATGTTGTTTATGTTTGCCTTTACTGATTCCCTCTAATTGCATAGTAAGCATCTATCGAATGGTGGCAGTGTCAGCATGCTCAGTCAGCTGTTGCTTCTATGACTCCATTTATGTTCTACTCAGATTTTACTTTCCGCATTATCACTTTTTCTTTGCCTCACTTCCATTTTTGTTGGCCAATTCCCTCTTTGGATTATTGATTTTCTAGAAAAATGTCCTTTTTTGTCCTTTTTTTTTAAAGATTTATATGTTTATTTGAAAAGCAGAGTTACAGAGAGGCAGAGGTGGAGAGAGAGATCTTCCATCCTCTGGTTCACTCCCAAAATGGCTACAATAGCCAGAGCTGGACAGATCTGAAGCCAGGTGCCTGGAGCTTCTTCCGGGTCTTGCATGCAGGTGCAGGGGTCCAAGGACTTGGGCCATCTTCTACTGCTTTTGCAGGCCATAGCAGAGAGCTGAATAGGAAGTGGAGCCACCGGCACCCATATGGGATGCCAGCTCTGCAGGTGGCAACTTTACCCACTACACCACAGTGCCAGCCCCTCATTAGATCCTCTTCTGATCCTTTCCATGTTTGAGCACTTGTAATGATGTTCTCTTCTCGTTCCTCATGTTGATGCTTTATTCTCATGTATTCTCATTTCCTTATCTGAGTCCTAGATATAAGTGTAAATGAATAAATAAGGCAAAGGTGTAGGAGGCAGAGAAAACAGCATATGAAGTGAATGCTATACTGTATTTTGTGTCATTTCATGAAAATATTGAGGTGAAGAATAGTTTCCAGTGAGGCTGAAAATCAAGTCATGGAAGGTCTTGAAAAAAGATTAAGTTACATCCTCTAGGAGATGGGAATGAGTAAAGAAAATTAACAAAGGAGGAAATTTCATATTTTCATTTTTCAGGACTACTATATGCCAAACAAACATCGTACTAGGTGCTGATGAATAACATCAAGAAGACAGTTTCTCCTCCCTTACTAAGCTCACAATAAAATGTGAGAGACCTAGGTACAGCATAATAAATGCTAATAAAGCAGCAAAGTTTGTGAGAGCAGTAGCTTACTTCGAGACTGGAGTTTGATTCATTCCAGCATCTCTAAGCATTCTCAGGCCTGGATTATAGGTGCTCATGTAGATCCTGTGGGAGCTGTTAACACGGAATGGACTTGACAAGTTTGGTACCCCATCTGATTTCCCTCAACTTGTGTTCTTTGTTTCAACAGAGTGTGATATTCTTTCTATGAAAGCCAATGGTTTCTCTTTGCTTTGTGTAGAGCATATCCAAGGAGTGGCTGCAGTTCCACCTGTGGTCTGGCTGCCATGCAACATGGACGAGCTACTGGTAAAAGGCCCTCTGCTCCCACTCCCATGCAGATTTACGAGCCGCTTCCTCGACTTCTCGTTGTGCACATTGCTCTGCCGTCCTGGGCTGACATCTGTCCCACCCTCTGTGAGGCTCTGCAGAACTTTTTCTCTCTAGCCTGCAGCTTGATGGGCCCCAGCCGCATGTCCCTGTTCAGCTTATACATAGTACGAAATCAGCACGAGTGCATCCTCCCTTTTGTGGTGAGTGTGTCTATATCTCTTTATTTTATCCTGAAAGCAAACGTGAGATTTGTGGAGAGGAGCACAGTTCATCTTACCTACAGCAATAACTACACTTGTTCCCCACACCCAGTGGCCCACAGGTGACACCATGAGAGCACTACAAAAGAGAAACCCCAGAATTATTAATCTGCGAACTTACATAGGCTGTGCCTTGTCCACCTCCACCCTGAGAGAGGGAAAGAAACCTGGACATTTACAGTTCTTTGTAATATAACCACTAATTCCTTTCACCCTGTTTGAAATATAAACACATGAAGAAATAAGTTTCTAAATCTCTTTAGAGTTTTCTACCTGTTCAATTATAATTTTCTTTACTCAGAAAGCCCTAATAGGGACAGGCTTTGACACAGCTGTTAGAACACCACCTGGGATGCCCATATTCCATATTGGAGTGCCTAATTTAAAACCCCAGCTCTACTTCTAATTCTAGATTTTTGCTAATGTGCACCCTGGGAGGTAGGAGATCGTGGCTCAAAAACTTCAGTCACTACCTCCCATTGGGGGAGTAAACTGGCAGATGAATAAAATCTCATTTCTCTCTCTCCTCTCTCTCTCTCTGTCTTTCATATAAATAAAATTTTTAATGACAGCCTTAACTGTGCAAAATATTTCTTCCACATTCCACATATGACTCAGGTGAAACTCCCCATAAGGGTTTTTCTCTGTTTTTATTTATTTATTTAAAGTTTATTTATTTTCATTGATTTGAAAGACAGAGAAACAGACAGAGATCTTATATCTGCCAGCTCACTCCCCAAATTCCTGCAACAGCCAGGGCTGAGCCAAGCTGAAGCCAAGTGGCTGGAACTCCATCTGGGTCTCCTACATGGGTGGCAGGGACCCAAGTACTTGAGCCATCACCCACTGCCTCCCAGGATGGACATTAGCAGAAAGCTGGATCAGAAGTGGAGGTGGGACTTCCCTAGGGTTTTAGAAGATAATGGCTGGGCTGGGGCAACCTTTTTCCTTAAAATTCTGGTCTTTACTCTTACCTTATATAGAGTTCATAACCACAGGGATGAGAAAGACCTCCAGAGGTTCTATGCATCTCCTTTGAGGCAGCCTTGCTACTACGGTGTCATAGTAAATGGGTATAAACCCTGTTAAGATTTTCAAAGGGGGAACTTTCATAAATCTGTTGCTTAATTATAAATGTAATATATGACTACTCTTGAGACTCAAAAAGTGATACTCCAAGGTGTGGTGTTTTGGTTTGCTGAGTGCTTGGAACTAAAAGAGACCTGAGGTCTCAGAAATCTTCGCTCTCCCTTCCTACCCTCCTTTGGGCCACCCAAGCAAGTAATAAAAATCAGAATTCTTTCCCATAGAAGCTAGTCTTTCTCCCTCAAAGACAGTCATAGAACGTAGAAATTAATTACTATTCTGGGACCAGGGCTGTGGCGTAGCAGGTAAAGCCTCTGCCTGCAGTGCCGGCTGCTCCACTTCTGATCCAGCTCTCTGATATGGCCTGGAAAACAGTAGAAGATGGCCCAAGTACTTGGGCCCCTGCACCCACATGGGAGACCTGAAAGAAACTCCTGACTTTGAATCAGCCCAGCTCTGGTCGTTGTGGCCATTTGAGGAGTAAACCAATGGATGAAGACATCCCTGCCTCTGCTTCTGCCTCTTTGTAACACTGCCTTTCAAAAAAATTTAAAAAAAAAATAAAGAAATATTACTATTACTATAACTTTCCCCACCTTTTGTGCAAGAGCTAACCATAAAGAAATACTCTATATCCAGGAAGGAAAATGCTACACAGAGGGGCCAAAAGTCTGAAGAGTCTATTACTATTAGATCATAGCCCATTTAATCACATTTCCTTATAGCTTTCCATTCTTTCTGGAACCTAAGCATAACAACACAGTTTTCCCTACATCTTCAGGTCTTCTACTGCTTTCCTAGGCCATAGCAGAGAGCTGGATCAGAAGTGGAGCAGCTGGGTCTTGAACTGGAGCCCGTATGGGATGCCAGCTCTGTAGGCAGTGGCTTTACCTGCTATGTCATAGCACTGGCCCCAGTAAAGCATTTTTTAATACATAAAGGAGTATATTCTAAAATAATGATTAAAAGTGTAGTATAGCAAACACATAAATTAGTAACCTAGTGGTTTATTGTTATCAAGTGTTGTGTATTATGCATAATTACACTTGTGATACTTTATTGTGACTGGCAGCAGCATAGGTTTTTTTTATACCAGTATCACCACAAACACAAGTAGTACCTTGTGCTATAACATTACAATAGCTACTACATCTTTAGGTGATAGGAATTTTTCAGCTTCATTAAATCTTTTTTTTAAAGATTTATTTATTTGAAAGTCAGAGTTACACAGAAAGAGGAGAGACAGAGAGAGAGAGGTCTTCCATCCGATGGTTCATTCCCCAATTGGCCGCAACAGCCAGAGCTGTGCCGATCCAAAACCAGGAGCCAGGAGCTTCTCCTGGGTCTCCCATGCAGGTGCAGGGGCCCAACTTCTACTAATTTCCCAGGCCATAGCAGAGAGCTGGATTGGAAGTGGAGCAGACAGGTCTCGAACTGGTGCCCAAATGGGATGCCGGCACTTCAGGCCAGGACGTTACCCCACTGTGCCACAGCACCAGCCCCTCCGTTAAATCTTATGGGTACACCACCTTATATGCAGTCTATCATTGACCAAACTACTGTTATGCAGCACATGATTGTATATATATATTTGTTTACTGATATATACATTTGAAGTAGTTTTTTATTCATATGTTATCTTGTAGCTTATAACTTTTTAAATTGTTTCAGCTCTTACCTCCTTACTTACTGTATAAGTGAATCAAGTTGCCAGCAACAAACAGATGGCATACTCAAATTGAATAATTTTCAGAAAACTGTAGAAAGGGAATATTTACATAGGTGTAGACAGTGTTTAAGAAAAGCCAACAAATAATGGCACAGTAGCCATACCAGCCCCAGGGCTGAAGAGGAGAGAGCTGAGAGGGCTGCCTCACAGGGTCTGTGCATTTTTTAAAAATCATGCAATGATGCTCGTTAAAGCCCAGTAACAAAGACTTTGTTCAGGATCATCACAGACATGGGTTTGGGAGCCATGCAGTGGGGTTTTGCATTGGGGAAAAGAGATTGAGCTCAATGCTAAATGCAGGATTGGTAAGTGGGAATTTATAGCCAAGGAACAGGATGGGGATCAGAGGATGGAAAATTACCAAGAGGAAGCCTCAGGGTTAAGAGAGACTCGGGCTAAAGACAGGCCAGGATTATCAGATACCACCTGGCATGGCGGAGGACTTTGAATTTGGATATCCCGAGTTTTCAGATATCAAGGCTGACAAAGCATGGGAGTAATTTTTACCAAACTGAGCAGGATTCTTGCTGTAACTAAATTTTAAAATTATGTACACAGGTGGGCCTAGGACAAGGTTCAGAAACCAAAGTTTGGCCAATCAGAGAATCTTTGTAACTTTCAGAAAAGGGCCACAGCCATCCCATGGCAATATGATAAGATGGGAGCCAGGGGAGCAAATTCCCAAGCTCGCTCTCCTCCGTAGCTATTCCTCCGACTGCTGCTGCCGCTGAAAGCAGCAGTGTAAGGGAGCTCACTGTGTCAGTTCCTATCGATCACCTTCCTAGAGCACAAAACAGGGTAAGAGAAAAGTAGAGAATGCTGTGGAAGGTCAAGCAGAAGAGATTCAGCATAGGCTAAGCCCATGTTCCAAACAAGGATAAAGGATTGCTTTTCCCTCACAATGGCTATATCACACCACCTAGCCCTCCTCAGTACCTGTGGCTCTAGTTGAATCCCTTGATCCCTTAATCACCAAAACCACTGATTTGTCAGGATCTCAGCTGAGCTGCCAGGTATCATAGAAAAACAACAATCCAAACAGAAGGAGTTAAACCTTTAATCACTTACTGTAAGCAAGAGTCTAAATATGGCAAAGTGCCTGCTCCCCCATGGAACTGTCCACTGGTTGAGGGTCAAATGCGTTAGGGCAGACCTGGAGGTTGTCTTCTTATTGGTGGAACTCAGAACCAAGGGCTCTGATGGTTTTTATGGACACTGGAGTAGGGGGAGAGAGCAAGGAGGAAGGGGTAGAAGTGGAAATGTACTGAGTTAGAGTAGGGAAAACTGTCTTCAAGGCTCCCTCCCTTCTCTCCCTCCTGCCATAAAGAAGTCTTGGTGGGGTTGGTGCTGTGGCGCAGCGGGTTAATGCCCTGGCCTGAAGTGCCAGCATCCCATATGGGCGGCAGTTCAAGACCCAGCTGCTACACTTCCTGTCCAACTCTCTGCTGTGGCCTGGGAAAGCAGTGGAAAATGGCCCAAGTCCTTGGGCCCCTGCACCCATGTGGGAGACCGGAAAAAGCTCCTGGCTCCTGGCTTCAGATCGGCGCAGTTCTGTTATGACCAATTGGGGAGTGAAACATCGGATAGAAGTCAGTCTCTCTCTCTCTCTCTCTCTCTCTCTCTCTATTTCTGCATCTCCTCTCTCTGTGTAACTCTGACTTTCAAGTAAAATAAATAAATCTTTTTTTAAAAAAAAAAAAAAAAAAGGAAGTCTTGGCAAAGCCTCTGAAGAGTACCTGGGCTGGGACTGGAAACAGTCCAGGAATATAATCAGCCAGGGGTCCGAGTCCTTGAGGCAACTCCCCTCGGAGACTGCAGTGCTCTGGCCGTGCACCAAGTCTGGTGTGGGGAAGGCAGCAAACTGAAGCTTTTGTTGTTGGTCAGCCCTGAAAAAATCACATAGGATTTTAATCAGAAGTCAGATACCTCACTGGCAACTCAGGAAAAATTGCAAGCCAAAATTTCCTTCTAACAAGTTCAACTCTAGTTAAAAACTCAAGAAAATTGCTTGACTAAATGTTATTATCTTATGTACTCATGTAGAACAGTGCAGTCTTTATTAAGGAAATACATGACCTTAAGTCCATTGTCTGTGATCTATATAAATATCCAACATTTTCTATCTGTAGAGACAGCACAAAATATAAATAAATGGAGAAAGGTAACATGTGGGAACTCGCACCCAAGATGAACACCTCAATATATCTCCCCATATTTAATTTTTGAATATAATCAAATAATTCTGAACATTTTTAAGGAATCATGACAGGATTCATAATTAAAATATTAGAATTCCTTTTATATCCATGGTGTCCTTAATATAAATAATTCCCACCAAAGTGATTCATTTCCCCTCAAAGCAGTGTTTCAGAAGAATGCCCTTACTGTGAAGATCTTCCCAATTCTTTAACTTATTCATGATAATAAAGAAGTTTTTGAATTATATATTGTCTCCAATGAGATATTAGGACCCAGAGTGCTCTAATTTAGCTGTAACACTTATTTCCTCACCCTTAATAGCTGACATTCAAATGAAATTACTTCAAGATGACAGATAATAGAGATATTAAACAACAAAAAGTGAAAAGTAAACTTCAAGAAAGATAACATAATAAACTGTAATTGAGTGATGCAGAAAGGGGAGGGTAGGAGCAAAACAAGGAAATACATGATTTTGTCATTTTTCATAGTGCTGAGTTACTAGATACTGCTAAGAATATCTTAAAGAAATTATATAAACAGAATTATAAACACTAAAACTGAAAGGCAAGACTTCCTAATTATGACAAGAAAAACAAATATAGAAAAAAAGAAAAATATGTAATATATATTATTTCCTGATAGAGCAAAAATTTAAAGGTGAAAAATGAAACTACACAAGTTCTAGAACAGATTGTATCAGGCTGGGTCCAATCAGGATACAAACTACACAATGTTCTAAACAAGGGAAGTTTATATTAGGAATTTGAAAATAATTTAACATACTGAACTGTGGTAATGGATTAATTGTAAGATATAAGGGAATTTATATGATATCCTCAAGCTAAGGGGGAGATTCCAAGGAAGAACAAGCTGTGGTATTAAAAAAGTACCTTAAGGTGCTGCCACAGAATTTGGCAGGGCCAAGTCCATGGGCAACAACAAATCGCTGTCAACACAGAGGTAAAATAATGAGAAATTTATTTTCAATTAAAGAGAAAGAAATAGTTAAGATTAGAGTATCACCAATCAAAGGAAAGATGCCAACGCCTGAAGTATCACGGCTGAGGACTCCCCCAGCAGCTTCTTCAGGGTCCCAGTTGGGAGGTCCCAGGCAGAGCATCCTCTTCACAGATGAGATTCCAAAGTCTCCTTCCCAAGGTTCCTTAAAAATTATTCTGGGCAAATGTGTCATTCACCCAAAAGTCCTTGTGTGACTAGGTAGGATGTCCATCCTCCCAGGAACTGGCTAGGGACCTTGGGGAACACACATCCATCCGTGTTCCATAGCTCAAAATCAAGCTTGTTTTTCTCTGTAGGTGAGTCAAACCCACAAGAAGAACAAGCACCTGTGGCTCTAGGCTTTTGAGCTTACGGCACAAACAAGGATGTGGAATATCTTTAATATTAACCTGTCACAAGCCTGAAAGGTGGATCTCCTTTCCAAGGCTAGGACTCAGATCTGATCAGAGAAGATACAGTTGTAGTCCACTGCATGGCAGACACAGTCACTGGTTTGAAGTTGGTCTATAGTTCCTGGAAAGCAGGAAGCAGCCCCCCATGATGAGTGAGCTAAGCTGGTGGGTGGGTGCACAGGCAGAAATAATAGAGAAGCAGAGAAGCATTGCAGGCAGGCTGCCTCGAACGTGCATTCTCCATGTTGGAAGGAAGGCTGTAGGAGACAAACCTCTGAAGTGGAGCGACAGGTGAACAGAGGGGGTTGGCCATCGATATGGGCAGAAGACTTGATCTTTGGTGTCTTGCATGTTGAAAAGGCTGCAAGAAGGTGACTAGTAGGCCAGACTATGACTGTGAAGTTGCCAAGAGACTGAGTGCTGGACACATGGGTGGGACACCATTAGACATCCCTACAGCCCACAGCTGACCCATAGTACAGCTGCTGGCAACAGAAGAGCCTCTATCTCCTGCAGTGTCCCTCCATTGTACTTTACTGAGAAAGCTTAACATTGTGCTCGCTGGAAAAGAGAAATACTTTTTAAAAATCCCATCCATTATCACAGAGCTTGTATTGTAGAGGGAATAAATTGAGCATTAGTGCAGGGGCAGGCGCTGTGGCACATTGAGTTAATGCCCTGGCCTGAAGTGTCAGCATCCTATATGGGTGCCGGTTCAAGTCCCGGCTGCTCCTCTTCTGATCCAGCTCTCTGCTATGGCCAAGGAAAGCAGTGGAGGATGGCCCAAGTCCTTGGGCCCCTGCACTCACATGGGAGACCCAGAAGAAGCTCCTGGCTTTGGATCGGCGAAGTTCCAGCCATTGTGGCCAATTGGAGAGTGAACGATCAGATGGAAGACCTCTCTCTCTCCCCCGCCACCTTCCTCCCTCCCTCCCTTCCTCCCTCCCTCCCTCTCCTCTCTCTGTGTAACTCTGACTTTCAAACAAACAAATAAATCTTTAAAAAAAGAAAATCAGGACGGCGCCGCGGCTCACTAGGCTAATCCTCTGCCTTGCGGCACCGGCACACCAGGTTCTAGTCCCACTCAGGGCGCCAGATTCTGTCCCGGTTGCCCCTCTTCCAGGCCAGCTCTCTGCTGTGGCCAGGGAGTGCAGTGGAGGATGGCCCAAGTGCTTGGGCCCTGTACCCCATGGGAGACCTGGAGAAGCACCTGGCTCCTGGCTTCGGATTAGCGCAGTGCGCCGGCTGCAGCGTGCTGGCCGCGGCGGCCATTGGAGGGTGAACCAACGGCAAAGGAAGACCTTTCTCTTTCTCTCTCTCTCTCTCTCACTCACTGTCCACTCTGCCTGTCAAAAAATAAATAAATAAATAAAATAAAATCAGTGCAGAGACCATGGGGGAAAAATAATATCAGAGTAGGAAAGGCTTTTCTAAATATAGCCAAAAGTCTAAAAATATCAATAGTCAGCTATATAAAAATAGAAAATGTATACTTGACAGAAAGCACTGTGTAAAATCTAAAGACAAATGACAGTAAAAGGAAACATACCATTTCTCACCACATAAGGTTAATTTTCTTTAAGAGAGAGACAAAGCTCCCACCATTGATTCACTTCCAAAATGCCCACTTTGGCTAGGAGTGGAGAACTTGATCCAGGTCTTCATGAGGGGTGGCAGGGACACAACTACTTGGGCCATCACCTCCTACCTCCAAGGGTGCGTTTTAGCAGGATGCTGGAATCAGAAGTGGAGCCAGGACTCCAACTCAGGCAGGCACTCTAATATGGGTTATAGGCATCACAAGTGGGGTCTTTAGTTTTAAAGGTTTGTTTATTTGAGAGGCAGAAAAGTCTTTCATCCACTGATTCCTTCCTCTCTTATACGGAAAGATTTTAGTGCAGTGCCTGGAACATAGTAGGGATTGAGAAGATACTGGTCAAATAAACAGATTTCCCAGAAGGGAAGGGACTCCTGAGGAGTTCTTAGGCTGCCGATTAATCTGAAACCTGGGTCACTAAAGATTTGTTTCTTTGGTTCATCTTTCTCTGCAGCAGGTGAAAGGGAACTTTGCTAGGCTGCAGGCCTGCATCTCAGAGCTCCGCATGCTACAAAGAGAAGGTTGTTTCAGACCACAAGACGCATCTCTGCAGCTGGCAGTGCAGGATGGGCTCCAGCAGTTCAAACAACACAGCAGACATTTGACGAAAAGTGCAGCTCTGACCTGCACTTCCCTGGAGGTGAGAGTTGACTGTTAGGACTCTAAGCCATCTTCCCATCCAGCCCATCGAGGTTTTACACTGTTTATCATCCTTACATAGGTCTGTTTCACACACATGGAATGTAATTTTCAAGGTTAGACTTTCAGCCCCCTGCAGAGAAAGGACATGTTTCTCATTTCCCTATAACTTGTATAATTCCTAAAATAGAGATGGGGGCCAACATTGTGGTGCAGTGGGTTAAGCCACCACCTGTGACACCAGCATCCCGTATCAGAGCAACAGTTCTGAGTCCCAAGTCCCAGCTGCTCCACTTCCAATCCACCTGCCTGCTAATGCACCTAGGAAAGCAGCAAAAGATGGCCCAAGTTCTTGGGCCCCTGCCACCTATGTGGGTGACAAGGATGGAGTTCCAGGCTCCTGGTTTAAGAGTGGCCCAGCCTCAGCCATTGAGGCCATTTGGGGAGTGAACCAGCTTGGAAGATCTCTCTCTCTCTCTGTTCCTCCCTCCCTCAATACCATTCTGGATGTTCCTTTGGGTGCGTGAGTGAATATGAATTAAAATGCTTTCAGTCTCTAGTAACCTTAGTCATGAAACAAATGAATTAGGGCTGGTGTTGTGGTATAGTGGGTAAAGCTGCCACCTGTGATGCTGCCATCCCATATGGCTGCTGGTTTAATACCTGGCTGCTCCACTTCCAACCCAGCTCCTTGCTAATGCACCTGGGAAAGCAGTAGAAGATGGCTCAAGTGCTTGGGTCCCTGCACCCATATCAGAGATCTGGAAGAAGCTCCTGGATTCTGGCTTCAGCCTGGACCAGCCCTGGCTGTTGCAGCCATTTGGGGAGTAATTCAGCAGATGAAAGATTCTCTCTCTCTCTCTCTCTCTCTCTCTCTCTTTCTCTCTTTTTCCTTCTAACTCTTTCAAATAAATAAATCTTAAAAATGAGTTTAAAAAGATCGTATGGAACTTCCCAGTTTCACATGAAAGGATCTTGGAAGTTGCCACTACATCCTAACAATGAGTAAAGAGTGGAACAAACTGAAAAATCAACAACTCTTTTTTTTTTTTCTTTTTGGACAGGCAGAGTTAGAGAGAGAGAGACAGAGAGAAAGGTCTTCCTTCTGTTGGTTCACCCCCCAAATGGCCGCTACGGACAGCGTGCTGCTCCAATCCAAAGCCAGGAACCAGGTGCTGCTTCCTGGTCTCCCATGCAGGTGCAGGGCCCAAGCACTTGGGCCATCCTCCACTGCACTCCCGGGCCACAGCAGAGAGCTGGATTGGAAGAGGAGTAAGCGGGGCAGAACCGGCGCCCTGACCGGGACTAGAACCCGGAGTACCGGCACCACAGGTGGAGGATTGGCCTAGTGAGCCGCAGTACCTGCCTCTTTTTAGATTCCTAAGAGAAGTGAGATCAGGACAAGTGACTGCCTCCAAAGTTGGAGACAGGCAGACACAGAAAATCACAACATACTGAAGCAGAAACCTCCACAGGAACTAGTGCTGAACTGTAATGAATGAAAGCTGCAGGCTTGATGTAGACATGTCTGAGAGCTGAAACTCCAAGGTACCCAGTCCTGGGGCCCACATACTTCCGTGGGTTTACCTGAGGGAGTTCAACCAGGTCCTCACAGTAAATATCAGGGGGGATTCCCTCATACTTCTTAGGGGGGAGAGGAAGGGAGCCATTTTGAAATATGCCAGAGTATTCTGTTTTTAACAAGTTTGAGCGACCAGCACTGTGGCTTGGTGGGTAAAGCCACCGCCTGCAATGCCAGCATCCCATATGGGTGCCGGTTCAAGTCCCAGCTGCTCTACTTCCGATCCAGCTCTCTGCCATGGCCTGGGAAAGTAGTGGAAGATGGCCCAAGTCCTCCATGCACGAGAGACCATGTGGAAATAAGAAGCTCCTGGTTCCTGGCTTTGGATCAGCCCAGCTCCGGCCATTGCAGCCATCTGGGGAGTGAATCAGTAGATAGACAACCTCTCTCTCTTTCTCTCTCTCTCTCCCTCTCTCTCTGCCTCTGCCTCTATCTATAACTCTGCCTTTCAAATAAATAAATCTTTAAAAAAAAAGTTTGATTCAGAAAAAATTAGTTCGATGGAGCCTAACCTTTTGAATTTATATAAGACCCTAGCTGAGGTGGGCGTTGTGCTGCAGCAAGTTAAATGACCCACATCCCATATCAGGGTGCCTGATTTAGGTTTCAGCTTCTCTGGGCTTCCCATCCAGCCTTCCTGCTGATATGCCTGAGAGACAGAAGTTGATGGCCCAAGTACCTGGGATCCTGCCACCCAAGTTCAAGACCCAGATGGAGTTCCTGGCTCCTGGCTTTGGCCTGGCCTATCTTTAGCTTATGCAGGCACTTGGGGAGTAAACCAGCAGATAGAAGATTCTCTCTCTCTCTCTTTCGCTTGCTCGCTCTCTCTGGTTCTTTCGCTCTTCCTCTTTGTCTCTGTCTCTCTCTGTTATTCTGCCTTTCAAATAAATAAATATATCTTTTTTTTAAGAGCCTAACTTCTCTGAGCAAAGGGAAATACCCAGTTGTAGCTCACAAGATCCATCCTTTCCCACCCAAGCAGTTAGGGGCACGTGGGAGGGAACCTGAGGGACACTTGTGAAATTCAGACCAGAGGCTGAATTTAGAGTTCACTAAAAGACTGAGACCTGATCATAGGACCATGGAATGCTTCCCTTTCCCCACACCTCACTACCCTTCTAAAGCTTATTTATAATTATTTCTTTTGCCTGGTACATCATGTCTAACTAACAAGAAAAAAAAATTACAAGGCACCAAAGGCATTTGGAGAGAGACAGAAAGCATCTAAACTAGACACGGCAGGGATGTTGGAATTATCAGACTCCAGAACATCAGACAATAGCTAGTATGCTAGGGACTCTAATGGATAAAGTAGACTGTGTGAAAGAACAGATGGGCCATGCCAGCAGAGAAGGAACTCCTAAAAAAGAACCAAGAGGAAATGCTAGACAACAAAAATAGAGAATGGGCTTGTTAACAGACTTGTCATGACTGAGGTGACAATCTGTGTGCTTGAAGATTTATCAGCACAAACTTTCAAACTGAAAAGCAAAGATAATGAGTCCAGGGGTGAAAAATAGAACAGAATACCCAAGAACTATGGGGCTATGACAAAAGATATAACATAAGCATAACAGGAATACCAGAAGAAGAAGAAAGAGAGAAACAGAAGAAATATATGAAACAAAATGAGAATTTCTTAAATTAAGGTCAGACCCCAAACCACAGATCAAGGGAGCTCAGAGAACACCAAGCAGTGTAAATGCCCAAAAATCTCTACTTAGGCATACTATTTTCAAACCACAGTAAAGCAAAGACAAAGAAAAAAATTCCAAAGGAAATCAGAGGAAAAGAACACTTTACTTACAGAGGAGCAAAGAGAGCAATTACATCCAATGTCTCCTCAAAGACCATTCAAGAAATCGGCCTGAGGGGTTTGCACTGTGCCATAGTGGGCTAAGCCTTGGCTGTGACACCATCATCCCATATGGGCACTGGTTTGTGTCCCATATATATTTGAAAGGCAGAGTCACAGAGAGTGGTCTTCTGTCTGCTGGTTCACTACCCAAATGACAACAGTCAGGGCTGGGCCAAGCTGAAGTCAGGAGCCAGGAACTCCTTTTGAGTCTTCTGCGTGAGTGGCAGGAACTCAAGGTCTTGTGCCATCATCTGCTGCTTCCCAAGCAGGTTAGCAGGGAGCTGCATTGGAAGCAGAGGGTTGGGACTTAGCTGGTACTTTAATATAGGATGCCTACATTGCAAGCGGCAGCTTAACACACAGTGCTGGGCCCTCAAGCAATCTGTAAAAAACTAAATTAAAAGTTTGGCTTCTCACTTATCACTTTCTGGGATCAGCTCAGCCTGATTGGAAAGGTTCTATGTGACCCATTCTATCAGAATCTGCCAAACGAAGTTTGGTTTTTAAGTTACCATTAAGCCTTCTCTTGGCACTAAACACAATAGCCATGACCACTGGGCTATTGTTGGGCGGGCAGTGGCATGTGCTGAGAAACCCTTGTGAAGTTCAAAGTCCAGAGGCCTAATCCACTAGGTTCAATCTGCTGTGGTCATTCTGCCAGTGTAAAACATTAGCATTCCTCACTCTGTACAGCAGGCTTGATTCTTGGGTTTATTTCCAGATTACTGTTCTGACTTCCCATCCTGGAAAAGAAGTGGTCAAACAACTAGAAGAAGGATTGAAAGATACAGACCTGGTCAGGGTCAGAAGACTTCAGGTTGTCGAGGTTACAAAGGAAATCCTCCAGCATATGGACTCAGCATCTCCTGTTGAAGAGTCCGGCAGTGATGGTAAGAATTGTTCTTTGAGTGAAAACAATGGTAATATTTTTAATGAGCAGCCATTTTACAGGTTAGGAACATAATTTTGCATGGTCTTTTTATGTTTTTAAATGCTAAATGAAGCCAGCAAATTTCACTGCAGTTCAGACAGATCTTTCTAGATGTTAAAGTGTTTATTATTTTAATTCGGAAGGATGTATCCTACTAGTAAAAACTGAAATATTATAAAATGCCTAATCAATTTTAAGAGTTTGTGATGCCTCTCCCAATATTCCTTTATATATACATACATGCACACATACACATATACTTAATATTTTAATGGAATCATATTATACATAATGTTCTGTAACCTTCTTTGTCCATGTGTACTATATAGCTGTATCAGTATTTATAGATCTATCTAATTTTTAAAAAGATATATTATATATTTGAAAGGCAAAGTTACAGAGAGGCAAAGGCAGAGAGAAAGAAGGAGATAGAGATATATTCCATCCGCTAGTTCACTCCCCAAATGGGCCAGTCCAAAGCCAGGAGCTTCTTCTGGGTCTCCCACATGGGTGGAGAGGCCCAAGGACTTGGACCATCTTCCAGTGCTTTCCTAGGAGCATTAGCAGGGAGCTGAATCAGAAATGGAGCAGCCAGGACTTGAACTGACGCCCATATGGGATGCTGGCACTGCAGGTGGTGGCTTTACCCACTACACCACAGTGCCAACCCCAATCTATCTCAATTTTTAAAAGTTTGTTTAATTTTATTTGGAGAGAGAAAGATATATCCTGAGTTCCTATCTGCTAGTTCAATCCTCAAATGCCCACAGCATCCTTAGGCTGGGCCAGGCTAAAGCAGGAAGCCAGGAACTCAGTCTATGTCTCAGTCCAACAAAAAGCCAGTTACTTGAGCCATAACCACCACCCCCCTTAGTTCACATTAGCAGGAAGCTGGAATCAGGAGCAGATCAGGGTATCAAACCCAGACACTCCACTGTGGCATGCTGCCGTCGTGACCATTGTGTTACCATGGGTCAAACACCTGACTCCATCTCATTTTTTAATGACTACATGATTTTTTATTATGTGGTTACACTACAGTTTATCTAACCACTTATTATGAAAGAAATTTGGCTTATTACATGTTGCTGTTATAACCACTGCTATATGAATAGGCACATGCAGGACTGGGATCATGGAACAAAGACAAGTGCACTCACAAAGAGTTCTGCAGACAGAAAGGCCCCATTCTTGGGTTGGATGCTCTTCCATTAAAATTCTTAATGACTGTATCTTTTTCTCTTAAAGATTAATTTATTTATTTGAAAGGCAGAGTGAGAAAAGGGAGGGGGAAAGACGGAGAAATCTTCCATCTGCTGGTTCATTCCCCAAATGGCCACAACAGACCATGTTGGGCCAGGCCAAAGCCAGGATCCAGAAACTCTGTCCATGTCTCCCACAGGGGTGGCAGGGACCCAGGTACTTGGGCCAATCTTCTGCTGCTTCCCCAGGAACATTAGCAGGGAGCTGGATCAGAAGCAGAGCAGCTGGGACTCCAACCAGTTCTTCTATATGAGATGCCAACATAGTAATCAGTGACCTAACCCCCTAAATCACAACGCCAGACCCAGTAATTTTTAATTTTTTTGTTTTTAAAGATTTATTTATTTATTTGAAAGAGTTACAGGCTGGTGCTGCGGCTCACTAGGCTAATCCTCCACCTTGCAGTGCCGGCACACCAGGTTCTAGTCCCTGTCGGGGCGCCGGATTCTGTCCCGGTTGCCCCTCTTCCAGGCCAGCTCTCTGCTGTGGCCAGGGAGTACAGTGGAGGATGGCCCAGGTGCTTGGGCCCTGCACCCCATGGGAGACCAGGATAACTACCTGGCTTCTGCCATCGGATCAGCGCGGTGCGCCGGCCGCAGCGCGCTGGCCACGGTGGCCATTGGAGGGTGAACCAATGGCAAAAGGAAGACCTTTCTCTCTGTCTCTCTCTCTCTCTCACTGTCCACTCTGCCTGTCAAAAAAAAAAAAAAAAAGTTACAGAGAGAGAGACAGAAATCTTCCATCTACTGGTTCACTCCCCAGATGGTTGCAACATTCAGGGCTGGGCCAGGCGGAACCCAGGATCCAGGAGCTTCCTCCAGGTCTCCCAAGTGAATGTCATGGTCCAGACACTTGGGCCATCTTCTACTGCTTTTCCCAGGCTATTATCAGGGAGCTGGATCAGAAGTGGAGCAGCCAGGATATGAACCACCATGCAAGCAGCGGCTTTACCTGCTACAGAACAACACTGACCCTGATTTTTATTTTTTATTTGCTTTGTAAGTAAAGTTTGATGGAACTAGAGCATGTGCCAGGGGTTTACTTTTTTTAATTTTATGATACATTTATTTGAAAGGCAGAGTAATAGAGAGAGAGGGAAAGACAGAGAGAGCCTCCATCTGCTAATTCATTCCCCAAATGGCTGCAACAGCCAGGTCTGGGCGGCAGATAGAAGCCAGGGATTCCATCCAAGACTCCCACATAGGTGGCAGGGGCTCAAGTTTTGGACCCATTCTCCACTGACTTCCAAGACATGTTAGCAAGAAGCTGGGTCAGAAGCAAAGCAGCCAGAACTCTAACAAGCACTCAGATATGGGATGCACCACAAGCAGCAGCTTACCCCAGTGAGCTACAACACTGGCCCTGTCACATTTTTTTAGAAAAACAAAGCAGGGCCAGCACTGTGGTGTAGTAGGTAAGACCTCTGCCTGCAGTGCCAGCATCCCATATGGGTGCCAGTTTGAGACCCAGCTGCTCCACTTCCAATCCAGCTCTCTGCTATGGCCTAGAAAAGCAGTAGAAGATGGCCCAAATGCTTGGGCCCCTGCACCTGCATGGGAGACCCAGAGGAAGCTCCTGGCTCCTGGCTCCTGGCTTCGGATTGGCGCAGCTCTGGCCATTGCAGCCAGATGGGGAGAGAACCGGTGTATGAAAGACACCCCCCCCCTCTTTCTCTCTCTGCCTCTCCTTCTCTCTGTGTGTAACTCTGACTTTCAAATAAATGAATAAATATTAAAAACAAAGAAAAACAAAGCAAAACTCCACCATGACAGCTCAAGAAAGAGAACACAAGAGAAAGAAAAAAATTTTATGTTACTATTTTTAATGACCTTTTTCTCCTGCTTTTTGAACTAGGGAGTCTGCATTTTCATTTTGCTCTGGATCTAAAAATTATGTAGCTGTCCTGATTTGTGTATATACTTGTGTACTTATGCAAGTACTTTCTGTGGACTAAATTCCTAGAAGTTACTACAGAATAAAAAAATGCATTTTTGATCATTAATGACATGACTCTCCATTAAAGATCATGACAGTTTACATTTACACCAATAGTAAATGATATTTCCCTACTAGGACTTATCCTTATGTGTTTAACTTTGCTAGTCCAGTGTGGGATAAATTTGTTTTTCTCTTCATTTTTTTTAAAGGCTGATTTATTTATTTATTTGAAAGGTAGAGTGATAGAGAGAGAGAGAGGAGAGAAATCTTCCACTCACTGGTTCGCTCCCTAAATGGCCACAACAGCCAGGACTGGGGAGACTGAAGCCAGGAGCCCTGGAACTCCTACATCCTAGGCTCCCATGGTGTGGCAGGGGCTGAATCGAAAGCAAAATAGCTGGGACAGGAATGGGAACTTTGTATGGGACGCCAGTGTCACAAGTGACAGCTTAATCTGCAGCACCAAAACACCAGCCCTAAAAATCTGTTTTTGAAATGAGACTTTTATTCTTGAATTACCCTCTGGGATTACTTTGGAGGGAAGGGATGGAATGATCCTACATAGTTGTCCTTGTTGCATGTGCTCTGTTTACTTAAATGACCTTTTCCTTGATATTAACATCCTAAAAATTATTCATATGTATTATAAGCAGATTTAAAATGCAGGTAAGGGTTCAGGTGTTGTGTTACAGCAGGTTAAGCCACCACTTGGGACACCCATTTTATAGAGTACCTAGGATGGAGTCCCACCTCTGCTTCCAATCCAACTTCTTGCTGTTGCACACTCTAGGAGGCAGAGGATGATGGCTCAGATACTTGGGTCCCTGATTCCCATGTGGGAGATCTGGATGGAGTCCCTGGCTCCTGGTTTCAGCCTGGCCCAACATATTTATGGGCATTTAGGAGGGAACCAGAAGATGGAAGAACCATCCACCTCTCTTTATATCTCTGTCACTCTGCCTTCAAATAAATTTAAAAGAATAAACATTTTTAAGTGTTCATTATTTGGAAAATGCAGATAAGCACAAATAAGTAAATCTAAATCACTCATAAGTTTACATTTCCTAGAAAAACTATTCAGAGTGAGTCATAGAGACAAGTAGGAATTAGCCAAGCAGATGCAGAGCCAAAGGGCCACTCAAAAAGTTGACCCAGAGAACTGAGAAAGCGAGATAAGATCCTAGGACCACAGCCTGCTGGGCAGAGGCATAAGCAAGACTGTGAAGGTAGACAAGGGTTAAATGAGAAGGGCCCATATATGCTATGCGAAAACATTTGAGTTTGTTCTAAGACAGTGGAAATTTATGAAAAGATTTTTTAGATTCATTTATTTATTTGAAAATCAGTGTTACACAGAGAGAAGGAGAGGCAGAGAGAGAGAGAGGTCTTCCATCTACTGGTTCACTCCCCAATTGGCTGCAACAGCTGGAGCTGTGCCGATCCAAGGCCAGGAGCCAGGAGCTTCTTCTGGGTCTCCCACGTGGGTGCACGGAAGGTCTTGGGCCATCTTCTACTGCTTTCCCAGGCCATAGCAGAGAACTGGATTAGAAGTAGAGCAGCCAGGACTTGAAGCAGCGCCCATATGAGATGCCAGCACTGGAGGAGTCAGCAGTTTTACCTGCTATGCCACAGCACCGGCCCCATGAAAAGATTTTTATCAGGAAGTCAAGTAGAGATTTCCAAATTATGGAGTCTAAGAGATTTTTTTTAAGTTTTTTTAAAATCTATTTGAAAGTCATTGTTACACCACAATGCTGG